CAGCTGGAGGAGACTGAGAGGAGACTCATCAGGGGCAGCTCTGATCTCTGCTCCCTGGGATGGTGACAGGASCCGAGGGGATGGATGGAGCTGTGTCAGGGGAGGGTTAGGTTGGATATTAGGAAAAGRTTCTTCTCCCAGAGGGTGTCAAGCACTGAACAGGCTCTCCAGGGAATGGTCTTGGAGCTCAAGGAGYGTTTGGACACCGCTCTGAGGCACAGGGAGGGCCAGGAGTTGGACTGGGTGATCCTTGGGGGTCTCCTCCAACTCAGRATATTCTGTGATTCTGTAAAATGTGCCCGAGGAGGGGTCAGTCAGTCCCTGTTCCCTCACAAACCGCTCGCTGTCACGCAGGACGCGCTGCGCAGCTCCGGCTCCGACGGGATGGGGCAGATCTCCCTGGAGTTTTACCAGAAGAAGAAATCACGGTGGCCCTTCTCGGACGAGTGCATCCCCTGGGAGCTCTGGACCATCAAGGTGAACGTGGTGAACCTGGCCAACGAGCAAGAGAGGCAGATCTGCCGCGAGAAGGTGGGCGAGAAGCTCTGCGAGAAGATCATCAACATCGTGGAGGTGATGAACCGCCACGAGTACCTGCCCAAGATGCCCACCCAGTCCGAGGTGGACAACGTCTTTGACACCAGCCTGAAGGACGTGCAGCCCTACCTGTACAAGATTTCCTACCAGATCACGGACTCCCTGGGCACCTCGGTCACCACCACCATGCGCCGGCTCATCAAGGACACGCTGGCGCTGTAAGGGTTGGTGTCACCCAGGCAGGTGACAATGGCACTTCTTTGGGACAGCGACTCTGCTTGGATCCCCTCCAAAAAACCCTCTGGGAGGAGCTGGGCTTGGCCTAGGCTGTAATTTGGAGGTTGCTCCTCCTTGGTTTACACCGTGGGGTTTTGTCCATCCTGGAGAACTGGCTTGGCAGCTCCGGCCTGGCTGATGACTGGGGTGAGTCCTCAGGGCACGTGTGGCACCAGTTTGGCATGGGGCTGGGGCCTGGCAGAGGGTGCTGGGGGTCAGGGTGATATCTGAGCCCCACCCTTCTGCAGCACACTTGGTGTCACACAGCCAGTGCTGGCCGTGTCCCTTATCAYCACCTGTAACCCACTGGTGTCACCCCAGTTCCTGGGGGGGCCAGAGCTTCTCCAAAAAATAAAGTTTCTGCTTTCACATGGAGCGTGATCACATCCTGACTGGGGGGGTTGGGGGCGTGGGAGAGGGGAAGTGGATGCTGAGGTTGAGCTGGGGGTCCCCATCACACCCAAATATCAAGGGGTGAACTGGGGGTCCCCATCACACCCAAATGCCAAGGGGTGAACTGGGGGTCCCCATCACACCCAAATGCCAAGGGGTGAACTGGGGGTCCCCATCACAC